CCCAAACTGCCAACAAAAATATTGTAGGCAGCGTGGGAAAGGATTTTTTGCCCTGTAGAATAATGGAACAGCCCAATTATCAATGAAGAATGGGTGTGTCGTTTGGAGCAAGGTAGTAGTAGTTATTTGCTTTAGTTAATGTCGCACACACAACTAAGGTATTTCGGCGACGGGCTAGTACACTTATTAGGAAATAAGGGAAACAAAAATAGAAATTTTGAAAGAGTGGTGTTACTAACACACACACACACACACACACACACACACACACACACACACACACACACACACACACACAAAAAACCAACTGAATATTTGAGGGAAATTTGAATGGGATGCCGAATTAAAAAGGTAATAAAAATATGAAATAGGTAAAGAGTATAAAAGATTTTGAATTTAATATAGATGTGGTGTAGTAAATGGTTATTGTTGTATTTTTTAACCAACCCATGTTTTAAAACATATTTATTAAGTGAATAATGATAAATATATAAAAGGTAAAAAATGAACTTGATATAAATAGAGAACTGATTAAAGAAGTTAAAAGAACATATATACATATTTATAAAAAAATTAAAATGGTAAAATGTGGTATTATTGCTTTTGTTGCTAGATTGTTTGGTATAATTGTGTATGAACAATCCATTAATCTCCCGGCAAACTCCAGTATCCAGCAGAACTCGCAGCCATAGTTCAGGCCTTGCAAACAACATCTGACCAAACAAACACTACCATCTGCATTTTTACGGATTCCTTAAGCTCAAAATTTTCTCTACAACAAAAAGACCAGATCTAATAAATAACATATACAGAAGAATGCTATACCACCAAAACAAAAATAATCAAATACATTTTATCAGTGTCCCGTCACATATCGGAGTCCATGGCAACGAAATGGATATCCTTGTCAGTTGTGTGTAATTGTGAAACCAGTAAAAGACTGTAAAACCAGTAAAAGACTGTAAAACTTATCAATTGTTCATGATATATCCATGTCTCCATGAAAAGACTGAGAATTCTCAGAATGAATAAAGATGTCTTACAAACCAACACTTTTTTAACTTCTGTAGGCAGAGTGGGAAGACACCATAGAACAGGTCAGTTCATTAACCAACTAACTGGTCGAGTTCATGTTAGCATGGGTAGAACAGGTCAGATCAGTGTATTCCCATTAACTTCACTTTCTGATCACTGGATCATGTTGTTTTAACCTGTATCATGTTGTTTTAACCTGTAGGCAGTTTGGAACTGTAGGCAGTATGGGAATACACCGTATAGCATTACCCATACGTAATGGGCGATGCAGCTTATTACATTTCCTGTAGCCTCCAAGGGGAGGTTACTGTTCCCACTTACAGCTGATTGGCTGTTTCAGAAATGCTTTGATTAGCTGCAGGAACGTCTTTCCCCTTTCATTCTCCGAAAACATGCCACACACGTACGAGGCTTAACATTTACAACGTTAAACATTCCAGCGAAAACATTTATATTTATTTCCAAATTACAATATAACTTTGCACTTGATATCAACATGCACACAAAGCATGAATTCATCTTTAAACATTGAATTTGCTCGAATGAGCGGCTGCATCCTTGCAAAAACAACGTAAACAAAATGGCTACATTCAATTTCTAATAAACTGAGGTGCATCCCTACAAATTAAATCATACTGGTAATGCAAGTTATTGGTCAGAGAACATCCATTCAATTAACGCATAACCAATCACAGAAAGTCTACGCTGAGACATTTCCAACATCCTTTCAAGTTCCAGTTCTCCGACCGATCCTATTCAGGCAAGTACCTGTTGCTTGATCAATGTCCATGGACCCCCTCGCCACTGCTGACTGACCCTGTTCAGGCAAGTACCTGTTGCTTGGTCTATGTCCATGGACCCCCTCTCCAATGCTGACTGACCCTGTTCAGGCAGTACCTGTTGCTTGGTCAATGTCCATGGACGCCCTCTCCACTGCTGACTGACCCTGTTCAGGCAAGTACCTGTTGCTTGGTCTTATGTCCATGGACGCCCTCTCCACTGCTGACTGCTGACTGACCCTGTTCCAGGCAGTGACTGACTGTTGCTTGTTGTCAATGTCCATGGACGCCCTCTCCACTGCTGACTGACCCTGTTCAGGCAAGTACCTGTTGCTTGGTCAATGTCCATGGACGCCCTCTCCACTGCTGACTGACCCTGTGACCCTGTCTATGTCCAGACGCAAGTACACTGCTGTTGCTTGGTCTATGTCCATGGACGCCCTCTCCATTGTCGCTTGTAAATCGAAAGTGACATCAGACAGTCTTAAATTCATCGGTACAAAAACATGACATTGGTATGTCATCTATTTCACAAAACACAAAAATAAATGTGATACACACTCTACTTTCCGGTCCAATTCACGACTGTGCATTGAAAACAACCATTCCTACGTTTGTCCAGTTTGCCAAAAGAACAGACTCCTTCCAAACGACGGTGTGTCCCGGACCCTCATCCGATTCCGAATAAGACTGCACTACCGTAAACTCTTTTCCCCAGCACAGATCGTTTTCGTTTGGTTTCAATATACATGTGAACAATAACTGGTAGGTTGTTCTGGAAATTCTTGTACATCAAGGTCAGGGACCTTCCAGTGTCTGTATCTGACATTTACTGTTGCTCATTTGTTCACAGATTCAACCGTTCCTTGTTGTAGAATCGTTTTATGTCATTAGTTAGGTGATGACGTAGGAATCGTTTCCACTCTGTAATGACGTAAACCTATTCCTAGAATGACGACTCCTAAACGGACCGGTGAAATATTTGAAGCAAACTGCACGTGTATGTCTATCATTTACCCTATATCATGTACATAAAAAAAACCTGTTGATACTAAATGGAAACAAAAAGATTCTCGATGCTAAATATTTGGAATGCTTTGTTTCATATTCCTAGAAATCGATGCGTTTTCATTGAAGTACTGTATTTGACTACCGGGGATCATTATGCAGTTGGATTGTGCTTCGCCAAAATCCCTGGAATTTGGTGCCGTTTCACGTTTTAAAGTGTGTCTTCGAATCTCGTATAAAGGGTGAATGTAAGAATCGTTTTACCTTCTTGTTTAAATTTGATGATGGCCAGTAAAACAATAAACCACCCGTGACAATGAACGACCGAATAGCTGTCCCTTGTGAATCAAGTGTTGTAAGTAACCCGTTCACTCGGAGGCGACGTCGTAGCGTTGTGGTTAAAGCGTTCGCTCATCACGACGAAGACCCGGGTTCGATTCCCCACGTTACAATATGTTAAGCAGATTTCTGCTGTCTCCCGCCGTGATGTTGCTGGAATATTGCTAAAAGTGGCGTACAACCATACTCACTAACTCACTCATTCACTCGGAACAGATAAGCTGTCATTCATCACTCGTACATGATTGTCTCTGCAAAACCTATGAGCGTCTTCGCCCAAAACATAGCTGTTACTCATGGATCTTGTAACATGTGAATAAAATAAACCAATACAAAATCCAGTGTCCAAGCCTTATTAGTACAGAAAATCAAAACTCAAAAAGTATACTTTTTCATTAATTTCATCACACAAACAACGACCTGACATTGGCGAATGAATGTCAGTGTCTGTGGAAATCCGGAGATACATCTTAACGATCACTTAGCACCATGAATGCATGTCCTTGAGATTACATCGCATATGTCACTCATATAATGGCCCACGTGCAAGTTTCTAATCCGTAGGAGTCTGTTGTAATAAAAGACATAACCGTGGAGTATTTTGTTCAAAAGCAAAAGAGGGCGTCCATGGACATAGACCAAGCAACATGTACTTGCCTGAACAGGGTCAGTCAGCAGTGGAGAGGGCGTCCATGGACATAGACCAAGCAACATGTACTTGCCTGAACAGGGTCGGTCAGCAGTGGAGAGGGCGTCCGTGGACGTTGATCAAGAAACAGGTACTTGCCTGAACAGGGTAAGACAGCAGTGGAGAGGGCGTCCATGGACATTGACCAAGCAACAGGTTTGCAATGAACGCTACTAATGTAAAAGCAAATAATATCACGGCGGTTCTTGTGTTGCAAATCTGTAAAAAGCAAATAATATCACCATGGTTCTTGTGTTGCAAATCTTTAAAAAGCAAATAATATCACCGGGGTTCTTGTGTTGCAAATCTTTAAAAAGCAAATAATAATATCACCGGGGTTCTTGTGTTGCAAATCTGTAAAAAGCAAATAATATCCCCATGGTGTTTGTGTTGCAAATCTTTAAAAAGCAAATAATATCCCCATGGTTCTTGTGTTGCAAATCTTTAAAAAGCAAATAATATCACCGGGGTTCTTGTGTTGCAAATCATGGTTCTAGTGTTAAAAGCAAATAATATCCCCATGGTTCTTGTGTTGCAAATCTTTAAAAAGCAAATAATATCACCGGGGTTCTTGTGTTGCAAATCTTTAAAAAGCAAATAATATCTCCGGGGTTCTTGTGTTGCAAATCTTTAAAAAGCAAATAATATCACCATGGTTCTTGTGTTGCAAATCTTTAGAAAGCAAATAATATCCCCATGGTTCTTGTGTTGCAAATCTTTAAAAAGCAAATAATATCCCCATGGTTCTTGTGTTGCAAATCTTTAAAAAGCAAATAATATCCCCATGGTTCATGTGTTGCAAATCTTTAAAAAGTAAATAATATCGCCGGGGTTCTTGTGTTGCAAATCTTTAAAAAGTAAATAATATCACCGGGGTTCTTGTGTTGCAAATCTTTAAAATGTAAATAATATCACCGGGGTTCTTGTGTTGAAAACAGATTTGTAATGAACGCAACAAATGTAAAAAGCAAATCTTCTCTGGCCCAAGTCCTTGATCTAAGGAGAATTTCTTCGTGACCAAAATCTCTCTGAATCAGCTTCAATGTTCAGATCAATGTTTGTTTCTGCATGTGCTCCTTATACTGTATGGTGTGTATATTGTGGAAACTAATTGTGAGACCAGAATGATTCTGACGTAACACATCACTGGAGCTACACACTCCAGAAAGGCATGTCCATATGTGCAGGAACAACAGCTATATTATGTGGTCATTTGGCAGTTCTGTGAAACTACTGATTCAAATTCAAAGTCCGACGTCATAGTCTGGTTTTCCAGATTTAACTGTTTCTATGAAAAGGACATGTGACGGTGTATCCCAGCGACATTTCTGTACAGCTGGTACCGTCCCCATGTTTTTGATCCACTTGGTAAACTTCGGGTAGCGATCTGCTGGCACACTCGCTTCTTTCACTAACTGGGTCATGGCATCAAACCTTTCAGCGTGGGGCCACAGCATTAGGTCAACCATCTGGACAGCGCTGCCTGAAAGGTAAAAAGATGAGATATTCAGATGTATGAAGTAAAACTGTTAAAACTGACTGACTGAGTTTGGCTTTACGCCGCTTTTAGCAATATTCCAGCAACATCACGGCGGGGACACCAGAAATGGGCTTCACACGTTGTACCTATGTGGGGATTCGAACCCGTGACGAGCCAACGCTTTAACCACTAGACTACCCCACCGCCCCAAAAAACTGTTAAAAGATAACAATAGATCATCGTAAGGGATGAAGAAGACAAATGGTATGAAAGTGGAAGTCATATCTGAGACTATATTTTGAAACCCAGGATGTGTGTATAGTACCTCAAATGCAAATCCGATGACCTGAGCATAGGGTAGGCTATCGATATCGGCCGTAGAAATCGACAATCGTAAACCAAATATCGATCGGTTATGGATAAATATATTAAAAGTAACTTGCCAAAATATCTGAAAGATATGAAATAGTTCACATCACTGGTGAGTGGTGACAATTTGCGTCCTGAACATAATTTAGAGGCAGGCCATGATCAAAGTCCTAAATTTGATTATTCTGTGAGATAATTAATACTTTTTATCTATTACAAAAGATGATGTACAATGTTATCGATAACACAATTTTCATATCGACAATCATTAATAATTTTTCCTATCGACGATATTTCCGATTATCGAATAATTTACCCAGCCCTACCTGAGCCACGCTGTGACTAATGTCTCAGGGCATTGTGGGGTTCAATATCTAATGCCTACCTGTAGTCCTAAATTAATTTCTTTCAAAATACCCCAATCCTAAAAATAGCATATATTCCCTTAACTTGAAGCTGTTCCTTTTGGTATCATGAGCCTGGTTAGCTGACATCTTAATCATAATTTTAAAAGCCAAATCGTTTTTAAAAAGGGAACATATGGGGAAAAGATTCTTACCACCAAAGAACGGGGTCCCCTCTTTTGCAAGAGCTTTCTCAATCAGATCGAGAGATCCTCATGGAATCCCGTAAAGCTTCCTTTGGGACCTCTTTACCATAAGCTATCTTGAAAAAGAAGGTCCCTACCTGAAATGTACAACAGTAGTAATTATGCTAGTAGGGGATGCCCAGATGCCCAGGATCCGCTGGTGCCTGGTCCGGAACACTATTGCACATGCTAAGATTCTGCTTGCTTCGTTACCGCCAGGCCCCTTGCTCGTCTTTCACCACGCTTGTAATTGTGTAAGACCGGCATCAATTTAGGCTTTCATCTTGTATTTAACTGAAACTCCGTGATCTCACTGTTCACAGCTCCGATAATGACAGCATTAAGTCACTTAGTCACTACCCTTTTACAGGAAATAACTTATTGAATATCGTGTAACAATAATATTTTTATGTTTTATGAGTTTATAATAGTCACAACTATACATCATGTATAAATACAGCGTTTTATGAATCATTGCTTGGTACAAGACTGACTGACTGACTGAGTTTGGTTTTACGCCGCTTTTAGCAATATTCCAGCAACATCACGTCGGGGACACCAGAAATGGGCGTCACACATTGTACCCATGTGGGGATTCGAACCCGGGTCTTCGGCGTTACAGGCCAACGCTTTAACCACTAGGCTACCCCACCGGCCCGCTTGGTACAAGAACATGAAGTGCATAGATTTAAGTGCACGACAATAATATCGTTATGACGAAAGTAGAGTTATAGTGCCCAAGAATTTGAATAAAAGATTGCCTTTTAAAGGGACAATACTCAGCACAACTAATGTCGATACATAAGCCGATAGGGCCACGTGTGTTCAAGATACATGTATATTTGAAGACATATTGCGTCACTTTTGCACTGTCACTTATAAGGTTTTCATATCCATCACTAAATTAAAATTACAACTGTCTGGTTGTCTTTGCGGGATTCTTTACGGTAACGGAAATGATATTCCTTCAGTGTGGATTAGACTGCTCGTGTTATTTAAGTTATAATCAACGGAATTATTACCTTTGAAAACAGTTCCACAATGATCCTGTCCTGGGCTCTCCTGTACGGGTCTGAGGGGGGGTCAGTTTGTTGTTGGGGTACGCTTCATCCACGTAGTCAGAGCAGATCAGGGACTCATAGATCACTTTGTCGTCCAGTTCGAAGATAGGTACAGAGCCGTTCGGGTTCCTGTCCCAGAACCAAGATGGCTTCTGCAGCGGGTCAATGTTCACTACCTCGTGTCTGGGTGAAAAATAATCACAATCAATATTTATCATAAATACAAAATGTGTTTTTGTCTTTTAATGAAAACGGGTAATGTGTTCCAAATGTTCTTGATGGATCACACTAAGTTCCAATTCTCTTGAATTCGTCTCGCTTTCTTAGCATAGGGAATAATACCTCGAGTGTTTACTCACACTCTTTCATTGAACTTGTCTCGCTCTCCTAACATTGGCACGAGATCTCGAGTGTTTACTCACACTATGTTCCTATTTTTAACCAGTTTCGCTCCCTTGGGTGAAACCTCAAGGATGTATCAATGTTCCTATGAGCAAAACCAGTCTCGATCTCTGCGTTGGGACAGCAATTTGTGATGTGTGCACACTTTATTCTTCTATTATCTTGGACTAGAACTCTATGAAACACTGTACTCGCACTCTTACATCCTGCCCTAGAATTAGTCTCGCTCCCACTATAGAGGCACATCCTATGGTGGATACTTACTCAATGTTCTTGTGATGCAGAACTAATCTCGTCCTCTCAGCATAAGGACAAAACCTCATGCTGTAGACCCTTATTTTCCCGGAGTGAGGGGCGGGAAGGCAGAAGCTGGAACAAAAATATTCTGATACACTGACAACCGCTGCAATGACGCCTAGTCGTGATTATTACAAATCACACAGTCATCTGGGTATGGTGAACTACTTGAGAAGTCAGGTAACAGTCTAGACTTTGTGTTTACAGATATGTATCATCCCTCATCCCTATTTTGTTCTTTGATTTTGGTGCCCACAGGGATCTGTCCCACAGGGTTTATTTTAGTTTTGGGATTTGGTGGGGTTTATATAATTTTCTATTTTGGGAAACGCCGAGCCTCATAATACTTTTTATATAAAACGCCGGACACTCTTTTCTTGCCCGACTCGGACAAGAATCGAAGTGTAAAGAAAACATTTATTTTCGCACAAATTCTTTTTTCCTAGCGTCGCCAGTACTCCTGATTTTATTTTTTTTTCTTTGTCCCCATGTAACAATATTTTGTCATATTTCCACAAAACGCTAATGTGGAGAATATATATTCTGAAGACTATTTCTTTACAAGCCCAAAATATTGCTGGAATTTGCAATCATATTTTCATTTGTTTCACTAAAAATAAGCCAGTAACCGATCAATAAAACATGTGGCCCTAAGTAATGTACAATATTTGCAACACAGAACATTCATAAGGGCTAATGAAAACGTTATGATTTATATAGAACTCAACGATTAGTACTCAACAAATATACTGAATATAGTTCACGTCGACGTCTGTGTGAGAGTGTATTGTTTTTACGCCATTTTGAGCAACATTCTATGGAATATCATAACATGGAACACCAGAAATAAGTTTCAGACAATGTTCCTATGTGGGGAATTGTACTCGGGTCTTCGGCGTGGCGCTTTAGCCACTGGGCTACCCATCGCGATAATCTGAGTTAAATACTTTGTATTATGAGTAAAGCTCATCCTTGGTGTGTCCTACTCATCTGATCTTCTTGTCCCTTACTCACCCACTCGATCACAGTTTCATTCCCAAATCACACTTAATCAGAAAATACGACTCGATTATACTCGTTCTCTCACCAGTATACCATTCAATAGTCTGTCGTACAGACCCTGAAGCAAATATATCCAAGAAAGCCCACGCAAGTCTAGAAAATGTGGCAAGTCTAGATTTCCTCTGAAATGAAGAAAGTCTCAGGGCTCCTTTTCATTATATTTTTTTTTTTTTACTATGAATTTTTTTCAGTAAAATATATTCATTTCAGAGACTGGTTGTTAGTCTAACCATTCAACAACTTGACCACTCTCTATACAAGTCACCCAAACACCAGCAAAGACATTGTACTCAGTCCCCCACGGCGCTGGACGTCATTTCACAATAGCGAATCAATATCTAATAACACCAGGAAAAAATCAGGCTCAATGCCCCGAAGAGACCCCTGAAGAGGCGACCGAAACCTCTGCGACACACTCCGCATGTATACAAACACATTTCATCACTTCCACGCCCCAACCACTGACCAAAAGTTCAACAGTCCAAGCTTAAACATATTTGAGCTGGAATACATGGTTTTGATGCAAATCAACGATGTATGTATCCCACTATATCGCAACAAACATGGTGGTGTCATGGCTATCACGTGAGACAAGACGGTGACATAGTAAAAAATATACTCACTGGCTGTGTAGGTTTTTTCAGTCATGGCGATGTTGTCTGTGAATGAGTTCAACACGGATGCGGATGCATATATGCGGAAATTAGAATCCCAGTCACGATGACGAAGTGCAATCTACTCGCTGTGGAATATTCAGATGCCGGTCCACTTCAGCTCTCGCGTGGCTTGGCCGCTCTGGTTGGGTAAATGTTTACACAGTCTACATATTCAAGGGAATCTTTACCTGCAGCATTAATTTGGAATAATGCAGGCCCTGCAAAAGCCATATCTTTATGCTACCTTAAACAATTCTTGTCAATTTCTCCTTACATGGAACACAAAATATATATCTATTACAATAAACTGTAAGTGTGTGTTTAGTTATATTCTGTATCATTTACGTTGAAATACTTACTGTTGGTACTAAATGTAGACAAAAAGATTCTCGATGCGAAATTTTGGAATAATTTGTTTCATATTCCTAGAAATGGATGCCTTTTCATTGAAGTATTTGACCATCGTGGAATCATTATGTTCATTGTGCTTCAGCGCAGTTTCACACAAGTATATAAAACTGTGTCTTCGACTCTCGTATAAAGGGTGAATGTCAGAATGTTTTTTTGCTTTTAATGTTCATATTTGACATGACCAGTAAAACAAATGACAAAGAACAACCAATTATCTGTCCCTCCTGATATAAACTGTGTAAGTCACTCGCCACTTGGGTTAGCTAAGTGGTGAAACCGTTCTGTCCCGCGCCGAAGACCCGGGTTCGATTCCCCACATGGGTACAATGTGTGAAGCCCATTTCTGGCGTACCCCGCCGTGGTATTGCTGAAATATTGCTAAAAGCGGCGTGAGACCATACTCACTCATTTGTTCACTCGTGACAGATGATCCGTCATTCCTTGACACACGTATCAGCATCTTCACCCAAAACATATCCGTTCCTCATGGATCTTGTAACATGTGATAGAAATAAACCAATACCAAATCCAGTGAACAAGCTTTATTAGGACAGAAAATTGAAGCTCCAAAAGTATAATTTTTCATCAATTTCATCATACAAGCAACGACCTTACATTGGCGAACGAATGTCAGTGTCTGTGATAACCCGGAGATAGATCTTCACAATCGCATAGTACCATGAATGCATGTCCTTTCTAATCCGAAGGAAACAGTTGTAATAAAGGACATAACCTTGGTGTATTTTGTTCGAAAGTGGTAGTTCCAAAGTTTATTGCCTTGTTTAAATATGCCATCAGGGTTCTTGTGTTGCAAATCTTTAAAAAGTAAATAATATCACCGGGGTTCTTGTGTTGTTAAGACAGATTTGTAATGAACGCAACAAATGTAAAAAGCAAATCTTCTTTGGCCCAAGTCCTTGATCTAAGGAGAATTTCTTCGTCACCAAAATCTCTCTGAATCAGCTTCAATGTTCAGATCAATGTTTGTTTCTGCATGTGCTCCTTATACTGTATAGTGTGTATATTGTGGAAACTTGTGAGACCAGAATGATTCTGACATCACACATCACTGGAGCTACACACTCCAAGAAGGCATGATCATCTACGCAGCAACAACAGCTATATTATGTTATCATCTGCACAGTTCTGTGAAACTACTGATTCAAATTCAAAGTCCGACGTCAAAATCTGGTTTACCAGCTTTGGCTGTTTCTACGAAATGGACATGAGACGGTGTATCCCAACGACACTTCTGTACAGCTGGTACCGTCACCATGTTTTTGATCCACTTGGTAAACTTTGGGTACCGATCTGCTGGCACACTCGCTTCTTTCACTAACTGGGTCATGGCATCAAACCTTTCAGCGTGAGGCCACAGCATCAGGTCAACCATCTGGACAGCCCTGCCTGAAAGGTGAAAACATGAGATATTCGCAAGTAAAACTTGATCATTTTAAGGACGAAGAATCCACATATGTAATGCGATGAAGTCGAAGTCTGAATATTGTCAGAGCAAATGCTTCGTTTTAAAAACATAAATGTTTTCAAAAACAGGATGTATGTAGAACCTGTAAGACCCATTCGATGGTCTAAGCAGCTCAGATCATCGAATGGTAGGGCTGGTTATCGATATCGATCGTAAAATCGATAACCGTTAGCCAAATATCGATCCGTTATCAATAAATATCTTAAAAGTAACTTGCAAACAAAGAAAGAAATTAATGTATTTCACATCAATGGTGAGTGATGACATTAACATGTTTTTGAATGGATTTTTAACGAAAGAGCGTCCTGAATGTAATTTAGAGGCAGACCATGATTGATGTCTTATATTTGTGTATTCTCTGAGAAAATTAAGACTTTTTTTTCTATCACAAACGTTTATGTACCATATTATCGATACCACAATTTTCATATCGATAATCATTAATAATGTTTCCTATCGACGATATTTCCGATTATCGATCATTGTAGCCAGTCCTACCCGAGCAACTCTATCACTTATGTCACAGACCATTGTGCCGCGGGTGTGTCTTGCAACAAACAATCATAGGGAATTCTGACGTACAATAAGTAATTTCTAAAGGTATCTGTTGGCCTAAACTAATGTCTTTGAAAATGCCCCAATCCTAAAACAAATCAGATACTTTCCCTTTGGTTGAAGTTGTTCATTAGCATTATGAGACAGTTTAACGAACATCCTGATCACAATTTTTAAGCCAAATCGTTTTTAAAAAAGGAAAAGATTCTTACCACCAAAGAACGGGGTCCCCCTGTCTGCAAGAGCCTTCTCAACCCTATCAAGAGCCTCATGGAATCCTGTAATAGCTTCCTTTGGGACCTCTTTGCCAAAAGCTATTTTGTTAAAGAAGGACACTACCTGAAATGTATAACAGTAGTTAGTATCCTAGCTGGGGACACAGGATGCCTAGTTCTTTCCCTTAGTCGTGGTAGGATCCGCTGGTACCTGGTTCGGAACCTTATTGCATATGGAAAAACGATCCTTGCTTCGTTACCACCAGGCCCTTGCTCGTCTTTCACTGCGCTTGAAAGTTGTGTTAGATCAGCATCAATTTAGGCTATATCCCGTATTTAACTGTTTAAAGCTCCGAAAGAGACAGCATTAAGTCAGACAGTCACTACTCTCTTTAACAGCAAATTACTTTGAATATCATGTGACAATGAGATTATTATGTTTTATGAGTTTATTATATTCACAACTATAAATAATTTTATAAATAAATCGTTTTACAGTCACAACTATGAACCATTGCTTGGTACAAGAACATGAAGTGCATAGATTGAAAACACGAATATCGTGATGATGAAAGTAGAATTATAATGACCAAGAATTCGAAGCAAAAATAGCAATAAAGGAACGATACTCAGCACTACAAATGTCGGTACATTAGCCGAATGGGCCGAGTGTCTTCTCCAAGATACATTTGGGTTGTCATCATGGGATTCTTTGCATTAACACAAATGATATTCCTTTTATGTGGACTGGGCTGTTTGTGTTATTCAAGTAACAATAAACCAAACTATTACCTTTGAGAACAGTTCCACAATGATCCTGTCCTGGGCTCTCCTGTACGGGTCTGAGGGGGTCAGTTTGTTGTTGGGGTACGCTTCATCCACGTAGTCAGAGCAGATCAAAGACTCATAGATCACTTTGTCGTCCAGTTCGAAGATGGGTGTAGCGCCGTTGGGGTTCCTGTCCCAGAACCAAGATGGCCTCTGCTTCAAGTCAATGTTCACTATCTCATGTCTGGATAAAAAATGAATAAATCAATCAATATTCATCATCAATACAATATAGAACATCAATAGAACTAGTCTAGCTCTCTCAGCATAGGGACGGATCTTATACGAGATTATACTTTCACTATGTTCCTATTTTCAAGAACTAGTTTCGCTCATTTAGCATACGAGCGGATCCCGAGTGTTTATTCACACTGTCCTATTTTCCAGAAACTAGTCTCGTTCTCTTAGCATAGAGGCAGAACCTCGAATGTTCACTCACACTATGTTCCCAGTTTCTTGAACTGATTTCGTTCTGGAAGCATATTGACGGACCCTTGAGTGTTCACTCAACCTATGTTCATTTTCTCTAGAACTAGTTTCGCTCTCTTATCATATGGGCGTATCCTCGAGTATGTATTCCCACTATGTTCCTATTTTCTAGAACCAGTCTCAATATCTAAGCAGAGGGACATAATTTGTGATGTATACACACTCTATGGTCCTATTCTCTAGAACTAGATCTCTATAGACTACGCTCTCTATGTTCGTATTCTATGTGCTACAATTAGTCTTGCTCTCACTATAGAGGCACATCCTATGGTATATACTCACTCAATATTCTTGTGATGTAGAACTAATCTCGTCCTCTCAGCATAAGGACAAAACCTCATGCTGTAGATCCTTATTTTGCCCGGGGTGAGGGGCGGGAAGGCAGAAGCTGGAACAAAAATATTCTGATACATTGACAACCGCTGCAATGTTGTCTAGTCGTGATTATAATATATATATATATATTGCCTGTTCCAACAAATTGCTCAGAGGCCCTCAGGCAAAGGCATCGTCAAAAAGCTGTGTTTTTTGCATTCGCTTGAACTGGTCGAGTTCGCATATGTTCTGGATGTTGTTTGGGAGATGGGTACACAATGTGGGTCCGGCTTTGGAAAAAGATCTGTCACTATAGGTCTTTCTTTCTTTCTGATTGAAATCAAACAGACTTAGTGTTTACAAATACGTATCATCATCGTCCCCATTTTGCTCTTTGATCTTGGTGCTCGCATGGATATGTCCGCTGATCTCTTTTTTTTTTTTTCTTTTTTTTTGAGTTTTGTTTTTGTTTTGTTTTTTGGTTTTTGGCATTTTCTTGTTTGGGAAACGCCGAGCGTCATAAGAACTTTTGTAAATTAAACTCCAGACACTCTTTTCTCGCTCAGACAAGAATCGAAGTACATGTTAAAAAAACTTTATTGAGGCTCAAATATTTTCCATAACGTCACCAGTACTCCAGATTGTGTTTGCTTTGTTCCCATGTACCAATACAAAATGCTAGCTTGAATATGGAGAATATTTTGCATACTATGTATTAATAATACTTTATTTGCCCAAAAGGGAATTTGTTGTACATCATATGCTGTGCTCCATAAAAGCAATAAATAGTACATAAACTCAATATAACAATATGCGAATCACCAAAACAGAAACTTTACACAAGGGGACTATGACAAGACACACATAACAAGTAATATTCAACCACATCACTGTTTTAAAATAGCGATGCTGGTTGGAATAAATGAATTTGATGCCCTGTTAGTTCTGAAAAGTGGAGTGTGAAGCGGCGTCTGGAAGGTAGACGTTTATTATGAAGAAACTTCTCGGAGTCAGAAGCAATTTTGTTTTTCAACATGAAGGGTGCTTAAAAGAGTTAGATTTTCCATAGAGACTCCTGATAATTTGCAAATTCATTTCAAACCCAAAATATAATAGGAAAGTGAAATTTGATTTTCCTTCTTCTTTCACTGAAAATATTTCATTAACTGACATTTAAAAACTATAGCGCTCAGTAACATAAACGACATTTGCAACACACATTTGAAAAAATGTCTAATGAAAACTTTATGATTTATATAGAGCTCAATAATTTGTACTCGACAAATATAATGAATATAGTTAACGTTTGTGTGAGAGAGTGTTGGTTTTACGCCATTTTGGGTAACCTTTAAGGTATAACAGGGGACACCAAAAATGGGTTTCAGACATGTGGGGAATTGAACACGGGTCTTCGGCGTGACGCTTTAACCACTAGGCTACCCCACCGCCTCTCAAACGCGAGTGCTTCAGTTGGGTAAGTCGTGATGAATACTTTGTATGAAGAGGAATACTCATCCTTGGTGTGTCCCTCACCCACTTCCTATTCCTTATCCACTCAATTAGTTTCATTCCCAAATCAACCCGTGAAGATCCGGGTTAGAATATTGATCTTCAGTAACCCATGCTTGTCGTAAGAAGCGACTAACGGGATCGGGTGGTCAGGCTCGCTGACTTGGTTGACACGTGTCATCGGTTCCCAATTGCGTAGATTGATGCTCATGATATTGATCAGTGGATTGTCTGGTCCAGACTGGATTATTTGCAGATCGCCGCCATATAGCTGGAATATTGCTGAGTGCGGCGTAAAACTAAACTCACTCACTCACTCATTTCCAAATCACACAAAATCAGAAAATACGACTCGATTATTCACTCAGTCTCTCATCCAGAACAAACCGCCTCCGTGGTGTAGTGGTTAGAGCGTCCGCCCGGAGAGCGGAAGGTCGCGGGTTCGATCCCCGACCGCGTCATACCAAAAGACGTTAAAATATGGTACCTGTTGGTTCCTGTCTGGCGCGCGGCATTAAAGATCACATATACTCTAGGGGGGTACAAATACATAAATCACTAACTGGCATCGCTATAAATGAAACCCCGTCATTAAAACTACTTACTTCGGTCTTTAATTAACTTAAATCGACCTTTTTGACAACAGTGCACAATTCTGCACCCGCGAACGAAATTTCAACCAATCAGAGCGGGGCGTCTCTGTGACGTCATATGAGGAATAGCTATGAGGGCCGATGCAGAATTCATCTACATTTCAGGGGTAAATTATCTTGTTTACAGGTTTGTATAAACCTGAAATCGTGACAACTGTTGTGGAAAATGAAAGCTATATGTTCTCACAATCTACTGTCATTTAATTTTGTCTCCTGCTTTGCCTAGTTTCCGAGTTACAACTTGTTTTCATAGACGCTTCTGTCAAAATTGCTTGGTGTCGTAAGGCCTTTGTATAATGACTGATCCAAATTGATCCCATTTCTGTGTTTTTTTACCTCGATATTTAATCATGTCATGTAAAATTCGGTTTGTATTCTCAAAACAGTGTCGGCCCATAAGTTTTCACATGCAATACAGCAATTAATACTCCCTTGTTGTAACCCGTGTTAGGTGGTATAAACCTACACATGTTATTTGTCATCATTCACTTGATGGTCAGTTAATGAATTTATAACAGGTATAATTAGTGGTAACACACTTAGATTACCCGACAAAGGTTCCCATTTGGCATTTCTTGTGTCTGGAGTAAATGCTCAACATTATAAACATCGATCAAAGGATTAACCGATAACACGCTGATTGATTAATTACTTTAATGTTACACAGCGGATTTGTCAAAAGGTAGTGTTTATGTACATGTTGATGAAAACAAACCATAATCTCATTAATTCTAACAGACTTTAGCCCGTCACTTTACGATTTTCAAAAATGGCGGCGCCCTGTCGCGAACATCCGCCAGTCTGAGGATAAATGCTATTTAGGTTTGTTTTCACCGAGTTACAAAATCAAAACTACTTTCTACTGGTAGTAAAATATGTATTGGAATCATAACCAAAAGGATTTTGCATGACACAACTTATAACATAACAATTTCTCTCGTGGCAGCGAGGTGGGTGTCAATATAATACTATTATTGTTACTTCGACCACAACCTCACTTCCGAGGAAGAAATCGTTATGTTACAAGTTGTGTCATGGAAAATCTTTATGGTCATCAATCATATACATATTTTACTACAACTAGTAAGTAGTTTTGATTCTTTAACTTCCGTGAAGCGATCTGAACACAAGTAAGATATCGTTTCAGGCTTCCACAACGCTCGCTTCGCACTCACAAACATAACCCATTTAGCACGAACTGCGGGTCCTGTGGAAATCTGTGCATGGCGACACCATCGCCCGACCCCTAGGAGCAATTGACGACAAAGCAACGATTCGGCATGTCGTCGTTGATGTCGAGAAATCATCAAAATGATGAGCGTGCTACACACTTTCTATACAACCAACTGAAAATCGTTCCTCATATGACGTCACTGCAGTGCCAGAGTTACGTCACAGAGTTACGTAACCTGTCTGTGGTTTCTTTGGCGGGCGAGAGTGAAGCAGGCGACTTTTTGGCAACTTTTAATCGCTCGGTATTAATTAACCACAAGTTTTTTAAGAATGAATTTGGTGTTCCGCATAAGTCTAACCACAAATCTTTCATATGTAATAGTTAAAAGAGTACTAAAAAACAAAGTTTATTTGTTCTTTAATGGGTACAACAAGGACTGGTCGGCTCGGAGTCAGTATAATGTGTCTGAGTGGGAATCTCAGTGGGCTAGCACTATAAAACCAGCTTAAGTCTGGGCTAGTACAAGCAGCTGCACATACACATACACACGCATGCACGTCGTCATATGAGCGTAAGACGTTAAACCCAATTTCACAACACATCACATCATCCAGTACACCATATATTCAACAACTTGACCACTACAAGTCACTCAAACACCAGCACCGACATAACACTTAGTCCCCACGGCGCTAGACGTTATTTCACAATATCGAATCAATATCTAGTCACAAAATCAGTCTCAATGCCCCGAAGCCACACTCCGCATGGATACAAACACATTTCATCACCTCCACGCCCCAACCCACAGACCCAAAGGTAGTCTCTCGTACAGACCCCGAAGCAAATATATCCAAGAAAGCCCACGCAAGTCTAGAAAATGTGGCAAGTCTAGATTTCCTCAGCTTGAAGAAAGTCTCAGGGCTCCTTTTCATTATATATATATATTTTTACTATGAACGGGTTTTTTCAGTAAAATATGTTCATTTCAGAGACTAGTTGTTAGTCTAACCCAAAAGTTAAACAGTCCAAGTTTAAACACATTTGAGCTGGAACTCATATTAATCAACAAACATGGCGGTGTCATGGCTATCACATGGGACAAGATGGTGACATAGAACGCAATATTTACTCACTTGTTGTGTAGGATTTCTCAGTCATGGCGATGCTGTCTGTGAATGAGTTCAGCCCACTTGCGGTTGAATATATGTAGAAATTATAATCCCAGTCACGATGACGAAGCACAATCTACTCGCTATGGAATATTCAGTTGCCGGTCCACTACAGCTCTCAGCCGCTCTGGTTGAAAGAGATATGGGTCGGTGTTTACACAGCCTAGATATTCAAGAGTATCTTTACCTGCAACAACTGATATGGAATAATACAGTGCATGGTCATGTTAAAGTGAGTGAGTGCGTTAATATACTGAACGTCACTGAAAACGCACCGGTCTAAAATTGTCCATATTTTCATCAAGATGGATTTCAGCATGACAATGATCAATGAATATAACTAACATGAAGTCGAAGGGCATGTCCAGTTGAAAAAATGCTTCAGAAACCAATTCCTGTCCACAGTATGACTCTTAATTCCAAAATGGATCAACATGCAGCCACGCCATGAAAAAAGCTTGAATTTCATTCTGAAATCATACTGACTGTGACATTAAAAGCAGGTGTATGAGAACCGATTCTCATTGCTTCACTAACGATTGTGAAACGAGTGAGTGAGTGAGTGAGTTTAGTTTTACGCCGCACTCAGCAATATTCTAGCTATATGGCGGCGGTCTGTAAATAATCGAGTCTGGACCAGACAATCCAGTGATCAACAGCATGAGCATCGATCTGCGCAATTGGGAACCGATGACCAAGTCAGCGAGACTGACCACCCGATCCCGTTAGTCGCCTTTTACGACAAACACAGTCGCCTTTTGTGGTAAGCATGGGTTGCTGAAGACCTATTCGACCCCGGACCTTCACGGGTCGATTGTGAAATGAGGACAGAGATGCCGAGGTTTACACCTCACGAAAGAGAACGAGCACTAGGCATGATTCGGGTTGGCACCACAGCAGGCATATTGCTCGACAACTTGGACTTGGCCACTCCACCATCGTTAGGCTTCATAGACGACATCAGTAGACAGGCAGCACCCGTGACCTTCAATGACCTTGGCAACAACGTGCTACGACGCTCCATCAGGATTGCCATATTGACCTTGTCCATATCAGTGATTGAACACTGCCGACGGCCAGGACTGCTGCACTAGTTCAATATTGACGTGGGGGTCATCAGCGCTGACTCCATGCGACGCCGTCTACACGCTACAGGGCTCGACGTCCTTACGTTGGACCAATTCTGACTGACAGACACCGTAATGAGCGTATACAATGGGCTAGCAGGCATCGTCCATCTGTTTTTATCCACTCAAAAAATATCAATTCCTTACACGTGCTTTTAATAATCTGAACTTTTATAAGTGGTGCGTTTTCAATGGTGTTCAGTATATTTAAAGTCACATCGGCAATGTCTCAGCCATATCGTGACTCATGTTAAAGTAATAGTGTTAGGCTACCTGAAATGACTCTTCTCAATTTCTCCTTACATGGAAACACACACACACACACACACACAAACACAAACACACACACAAACACACACACAAACAAACAAACAATCACACAAACAAACAAACACACACAAACACACATACACACAGAGGTAAAGATGTTCGTTCGTTCGTTCGTTCGTTCGTTCGCATGCGATATTGACTTTTTTTCATTCATCCATTCATTCATTCTCCTGGTAACTCAGTTTGGGGGCTTCATTAAATCCCCGATTCCCTGAAATGACAGAATCGGGGTTTTCATGAACTTACTGAAATGTCTAGTTTCACAATCTTCATGTAACATATTTAACGTGACACTACACTGTGACCAGAGTCCGTTTAATCCGGACACCTGCTAATGTGGACAATTTCACTGGCGGTGCTTTCTCTATATTTGCTTCATATATGCATAACATAAACATAATGCTCCTCGTGCATTAAGCCATCAATCCCGGCTTACCTGTTTATAGAGTACATGTAAGTGAAGGAGTTCGCGGTAGCAGGGTCTGTATCATTGAAATGGGAGAAAGATCTGTTGCATAATTATTCTTCCTCTTTCATAGTTGTTTTGGCATTCACGAATAACGATAAATACTCGATAAAATAAAACAAAAATGGATGGGAATCCTCAAAATCTTTATATAACACCCACACTAAACCAGCTCTCACACTCACATCTACACCCCCCTCCCCACCACACCCCACCCCACCATACAGACTCACACCCAAGCCAACCCATTCTCACACCGACATCAGCATCAAGCCCAAACCCACTCCCGATCTCAGGTCCACCTCCAAATCCACACACACACACACACACGAACCCATATCCACATTCGAACACACACACACACCACCACCACCACACCACACCACACCACACCACACCACACCACACCACACCACACCACACCACACATCAAAATTAAGTTTTTAATATTGAAATTTTGTGCGATATTGAAGTTCTGAAAAACGCTTCCTATAAGCTTATAATGTAAGTGACATGTTCTACCGGAAAGTGGGCATATCACGCTAGAGGAGACCAGACGATTATAACCGCTGCAACCAGTGTCAAGGTCAAATGCAGCAAACAGACAGCGCCCCGTCTCCTAGCTGTATAAACACAGACCACATTCACGTTACCGTATAATCAGCAGGATGCAGCCACAGGATATAGCATTGCTTCGTCTCAGCTTATAAGGGGCGGTCTGTGAGCCCAGTGGTTAAAGCCTTGGCTCAGGGCGAGAGAGACTCAGGTTTGAATCCCCACATGGTTACTATGCGTGAGGCCAGTATTCACAAATACGTTCACACTCGTTCCTGGACATGTTATTTGGTAGATTACATCCGTCTGAATTAATGTCACGTCTTATTTGGTGTTTAATCGCATTTTTCTTGCTGTAACGTTGGGCGCCGTGCTATACGTATTTCAGGAAGTAGAATGACGTCACATATCATAATCTCGTTCCAAATCAGTTGCAGAAATAACTGGACGTAAGTAATTTTCTGTCCGAGAGAGTTTTCAGAAAGTTTCACTATTCCATAGGCATTTATTACAGTTTTCATACAATAAATATCGTGCAGCATTATTGGCTCTGCCTTTGCGCACAGTAATTCTTCTTTTGAAAGTAGATTAATTAAATTTAGTTATTATAGAAAGTTTTATCTATATCCCTCTTCACCTCTTCAAAAAAGACAGTTGGGATGGGACATCAAACATCCTGACAACCACGTTTCCAACCCCCAACCCGTTACTGTGCGCAAACGCAGAGCCAATAATATATTATTAGGGTTTAATCCACGAAAGTGAAGCATTTCTGCAAAGATACTTCCTTTGAAGCAAACAATCGGCGGTGGGCCACCCACTTTCCCCATAACTACATTTCAGGATTTCAACTTTTATATGGTCGCTTTAAAAGTTTGAAAACCCTTAAGTAAACATGTCTTCCTCCACTTCCAATAGTTAATGCTAAATGATTTGTTTCTTTGAACAATATTTTACTTATTTCACTTACACGGCATCAGGACAATCCAGGGATTGACAGCATTAGCATCTGAATCCCACAGGTGTGTTGAGAATTGAAATTCTTTCTGTTCAGATCCGGGATTCAGCGACCCAAGCTTGTTGTAAGAGGCGAGTAACGGGATCAGGTGGTCAGGCTCGATGACTTGGTTGGTGCATGAGATCGTGTCCCAACTGCGTAGATGGATACTCATTATGCCAATCACTGGATTGTCTGGTCCAGACTCAATTACTTTCCACCCCGCTCAAATAGCTGTGAAGATTCGGGTTAGAATTGGTCTTCCGCAAACCATGCCTGTCATAAGAGACGACTAACGGGATCGGGTGGACAGGCTCGCTGACTTGGTTGACACATGTCATCGTAGATCCATGCTCATGTTGTTGATCACTGGATTGTCTGGTCCAGACTCGATTATTTACAGACCGCCGCCATATAGCTGGAATATTGCTGAGTGCGGCGTAAAACTAAACTCACTCACTCAAATAGTTGTAAAATTGCTGAGTGGGGCGTTAAACACAGAACAAGCACACCAAACAAATAATTATTATAGTTAAAACACTATGACAAACACTTCAGTGAAACCTGTCAGCTTAAATAAAAGACGAAAACCCGAACTGATTCAGGTCCACTGAATCTGTTGCTCTACTTCATGTCATACAACATATTCTAAACATCGTGCATGTGGAACATTAGCACAGAAATCGATAACGAACACTAAGCCATGATCACGTTTCCTTCATCTCTGAAATCATTTTATCCGAAACTAGTCGACGTTTTCAATCCAACTTATGGTGACCTGAGACACCATCAGCAAATCACTGCTTATCTTGCGTGATGAAGATACATCATAACAACATCCTCCCCTCACCACGTGTACGGCAAGGCGATGTTGTGACTCGCGGCCTATTGACCTTCAGTAGGTTGCTCGTGTTTGCGAAGCATGTTATTCCTCTCCTCTATTTTGGTGTCTGAACACGATCTGTTTGTTGGACATTGTCCATGTTTATCTTCTCCTACACCGATCTCAATGTCAGATTCATCCAATGTCAACAAACACGTATTCTAAGATTCGTCTTTTAGATGTGGGTGTTCAGAGACTCAAACAAAAAGGTGGGTGTCGAGAGATTCAAACAAATAGGTGGGTGTCCACAGTATCAGAGCTAAAGAAGTTTGGTGAGATGAACTGGGATCTAACGTTTCGCTGACGATTATTTTACGCATGTAGCGTGTGCGTGTGTGCGTGCGTGCGTGTGTGTGTGTGTGCATGCGTTCGTGAGTGCATGCGTGCGTGCGTGTGTGTGTGTGTGTGTTAGTCCACACTATAACGACACAACCAATAAGCGATTTGTCACTATATGTGCAGGGCATCATATCATTGGCAACTTAAAGCTATTTAGAATATAGCGATAACAACGATGTCCGTTGTGGTCGTTTGCAGCTAACTATAAGCTTTCATTTACAATCATGTCGTCGTGCATGTCCATCGATACAGCCAGAAGATACCATGGGGATCTGGACAAAGTACTGACATACTTGTTATAGTTATCAAATTCATACTAAGGGCCTGTTCGATTATTGCGAAAATGGTTTTGGTTTCTGATGCTGGTTTTTCCTGTTATAAAGTGTCTAGTTTCGGATACATAGTTTCAAAGTGAAACTAGTTTATAGCTTAATAAACGAATGGATGGTTTCCCCATCCGGTTTCAAAATGGATGCAAAATAAATGTCTCAGCTACTATGTATGTGGAACGAATTGAATGACAGCATTGCCGAAGGTAATATTTTTTGTCATTTTATCAGGGAATAAACAAATAGTAACGAGTGATTTCTGTGGGAACAACCGTTCCCGACTTCTGGTCATCCGTGGAAACCTCACAGCTGCTGCTTACCGCGACCAGGTGCTCACCCCTGAACTCATTCCTTTCATGGCGGCTCATAGCGGATTCTTAATATTTATGCATGTGACCTTTGACCGATTCCAAAACGAGGTTATACCCGCAAATATGGCAGCTGATCACTGCTCTGTACCTCAGTGTACATCTGATGCGAGATACACCAATTCACTTTCGTTTCACACATTTCCGAAGGCTGAAGATGTGCGAAGGAGATGGATAATTGCCATTCGTCGGGACGAAGGACCCTTCTTTACGGTAGGTTAAAATTTTCATTCAGGATTTTCGAAATTAAATCTCAAGAATTTGAGTCGTCCAAACAGCAACGAATATATTATCGGAGCTGCAGGTGTCAAACAGATTATAAGACAAAAAGATATTTTGTCTCAAACAACTGCATGATAGCATTTTGCATGTCAAATTTGTTTTCAACTATACTTTCGTGTTACTAAATTACCAGGACGATTGCATACATTAGCCTTTCGTGGTCCTATATGAAACAATGGCAGATGGACCCAGGAAGAATTATTATAGAATCACTTATATACACAACTATTTATTGTAACTATTAAAAAAAAGAGATATTTTTTAAATCTTGGAGCTCAAAATCTATAATGACAGTAGACTTATTTTAATTTCACTTGTATTTAGATCACCAGGAAGAGTGTTGTTTGCTCGAAGCATTTCCGGCCTGAGGACTACAAGTACACACCGGTAAAGAAGACCCTCAAGCAAGGATCTGTGCCATCCATATTTCCTTGGAACTTGGAAAATATGAAGTCCAGAAAAGCACCAGCCATCCGTCATCCACTGATGCCAAAACAAGTAATTTCATGGGAAAGGTCAGTTTAAGAGTTAGAAATAAATTGGTAGATGTGTAAGCACTACTTCAGTTCAAATGCTCTTTAACTAAAGATGTCTTTCTTTTTTGTGGTATCCATTAATTTAAAGTATTTCCATCTAATTAAATTTCAGATGAAGGATTCATAATCACTGATGACCCTCATACCTCATCATAATATTTAGAAATGAATAAATGTTGAAGTGTACAAACATTTGATTTCCACTGAAAGTAAATTCTTTATTTTTTCAGTCCTGAAAATGCAAACACCATGTCAGATTGTGACCCTCATGCAGAAGGTGAGCACCAGTTGTCAGCTCAGACCCAGACAGATATCAGTCTGTTTGATTCACAGGTGCTTCTAAAAAGAATTCAAGAGCTTGAGGAGGAGAAAGATTTGTTAAAAGAAGAGCTCACCCTTGAGAGATTTGGACTGGAAAGATTTGCTGGAAATGATGATATGATCCAGTACTACACATCTTTTCGTAGCTATAAATTGTTCAAACAGTTTTATGACTTTGTAAAACCAAGTGCCTCCAATATGTGCAGTATGTATTATACATTCTCAAATGTCATTTCTCTTGCAGGTAGACCAAGAAATATGGCCCTTATTGATGAAATGTTCATGTTTTTTGTACGCCTTAGGCTTGGTTTACCAGAACAGGATCTTGCTGTTCGTTTTAACTGCCATATTCCGACTGTTAGTCGAAAAATTATCACCTGGGCAAATTTTCTCTATTTTGTTCTTGGATCAGTTCCTATCTGGCCTTCCAGAGTGACAGTAGACAGACACATGCCTCCTGAATTTCAGATAACTTACCCATCTACAAGAGTCATTTTAGATTGTACTGAGCTCAGGATCCAAATTCCCTCAGCTTTGGTGTTAAATTCCATGTTTTATTCCCATTACAAGAGCTCTTGCACTCTGAAAGGTCTGATTGGCATTGCCCCAAATGGTGCTATTATATGGCTCTATGCTATGGTGCTATATCTGTACACATCTGTACACAGGTGTCATGTCCGATGTTGAAATAACTAAACTGTCTGGCATTCTAGATTTGCTGGAACCTGGGGACAGTGTTATGACTGATAAGGGTTTTACTATTGCCAGTATACTGAGTGAGAAAGGTGTTGGTCTGAACATTCCTCCATTTCTGTATTCCTCTGGACAGTTCACGCCTAGTGAAGTATGGGAGACACAGTCCATTGCATCCCATAGGATTCATGTAGAAAGACTGATCAGAAAGGTTAAAGAGAATCACCTGTTTGATTCTACAGTCTCTCTTGCTGAACTGGGCAGCATTAATCAGTTGTGGACTGTAGCATGCATTACATCTAGTTTTCAAGGACCTTTGATAAAAAAGAAATGAAAGAAAACTGATTGAGGTTTAATGTTGATTAGCATGAAATTTGTATTGCATTTTTAAGAGAACATAATATATACATCATATTGACACTAATGGTATAACAGAGTATTTATTTACAGTGTTTGTTAGTTTTCATCAGAGTTTATAATAGATTCAGGACCTATTATGAAACTATGATCATAGTAAAAACTCAAATCAAATAAATTTCTGAAAACTTCAAAATACAAATTTGTATTACATGTTCAGATCACCAGATAGCTTAGGCTATAATACCTTGGTAACCAAAGTTAGACACATCCTGTTTCAATATGGATTTGGTTATGCTTGTCTAAGCCAAGAAATTGGAAATGTGGAATATTCTGTGTATCTATTCAAGCTAAGGCTAGGTGATAACTTAAAACAGTCTTGGTTCTCATCAATTAGTGAAACTCCTAAATGTATATTTTACAAGGAGTTCAAAACTTTGTTAAATGTTAAAAAATATTTGTGTTGTGATATCCCTGTGCATATAAGAATTGCTATATCAAGGTTTAGAATCAGTAATTTAATACGGCTGTTGAATGTGGCAGGTATAATGGAATTGAATATAACGAAGGGCTGTGTCCTTTTTGTAAAACCAGAGGTCAGCATTATATAGAAAATGAATATCATGTACTATATGTTTGTAATACCTATGATATACCTAGAAAGAAATATATAACGAAGTTCACTAAAGAACCACTTACTCATTACTCTGTCGTAAATCTTTTGCAAAGCAAAAATGATGCTGTCATATACAGTGTTGGCCTATACTTATACCATGTACAGAAACTGAACTCCAGGACATAGAGCTGCAAAGTTGTATTGCGCACCCACTAAACACAATGTCAGTCTGATTGTATTATGGGCGAGGGCCTCTTTACTGAATAAATACTGCCTGTCTGTCTGTATTACAGATAAGATTATGTTGTGGTAACAAAGTTACATTTAAATTGTTATATTGTCAAAAGATGTCATTATTGATTCTGTTGAATAAATGTTACTGTAACAAAAGTTTTATGACAAATGCTCAAAACAAACTTGTTAATATAAATTAATAAATGTGATTACAGCTAAATCTGTAATATTTCATCGACTGTATATTTTTTTAATACACAGATCTTTTACATTTTTATAGATATCAATGTTTTGAAATATACACAGGTAGTAAGTAAAAATGCTCAGAATTATGATATACTGAAATTGTGAGTATCTCCCTTTAAACAATGCCAGAATTTCTAATAAGCAGTGAACTAGATCAATATTGCATGTTTTTGTTTCTGAATGATTAATAACAATACACAAAGTGTTATGAACAGAGAACATGTTTGATGTATATATGAAATATATACCTCACATTATATGTTTATCAATTAAACAATGAAAGAAGTTCATCTTGTTGTATTTTTCTGAATGCATTAAACTTAATATGATTTCATCTAGCTTGATGTTAAGAATATTGCTGATTTTTTTGGTAATTGAAATAATCAGAGAAATGACTTCTAACATAGTAGTACAGAAACTATGAAAGAAGGTAATCAAAGAAGAATTTATCTGCCTTGTCTTTCACCCTTTGCCAGCTCTCAGGACAAAAGTCAATTCTCTCGAGATGGTGTTGCCTTTCAGACCAGACAAAGAAATCACACCCTTTCAAACCAGTCATTGCCAGTTGCATCTGGATCTGATGATAGTAGTTACATGTTGCCTTAAGAGCAAGCTGGCCATTGTCCTTCAGGCTGAGGTACTGCAGATCACAGAGGTCCTTATTCCGCAGGTCTGGACACTTCACCTCCAGTAGACCAAAAGGAGGGTTGGAGCTGGGGTCTAGCACCTTCCTGTCTGGAGAAGCAGCCATCCATGCTGCTCTGGGACTTATTACAATCCCACAGGGATATATATTCACATTGCCCTCCTTTAGCTGAAATATCAACATGCAATTTTAAATATAGGCACATGTGTACACTTCTTTATATTTATTATATATGTTGAGATAATTATCCCCTTAATCCAAAATATTAACATTCAATGTTAATTACATATACACATGTACATTTATTCAGTTGATCCATTTACACATATGATTTAATCAATCTGAAATGTTTACCTTCCCATATGCCTCTACTGCAAAAGGCTCATTGGCAATGCCCTCTCTCATTGCCTCTGTGAGGACGGTCCTAGAAGAAGATCTCAGTCTTTCTGCAAACTTCTCTGGTTCTGAAATTTTATTATTATTTTTTTTTAATGTAATGGATTTGGGTGCAACATTTTCTTTTAATGAAATTAATGACATAAAACTTAATGTTAATTAGGTTTATTTTCTGTTTACCTTTTTTACGCTTTGAAATTTCTCCAATTTTGGAAGCTGTGACCCTGTGACGTCTCAGACGAACCCACTTCTTGTCCTGCGCCTGGAGTCTGGTAGCCTTCTCTATCTCCACAGCCTCATCCTGACTGACACTGAGTGAGTCTAGCAGAGTTGTCTGACTCTCTGTCAGCACACTGCTGTAGTTGTTCTCTCCTGTCTGCTCAGCACTAATGGGTAAATCAGGATAAAATCCATCTACAATGTTTATCAGATAATTTCTGTTGATGGCTGATGGTACTACCCTCAGGAAAAAATCCAAAATTAGTTCTTACAAAAGGTGGTAATGGCTCATCAGTCTGTGGAACTGTTGTTAATAGTGATAGATCAGGATGATTTAACTTCAGGGATGAAAAAAATGGTTTCAATGGTGGAAGGGTAGACCTAGTGGGGTTGTAAAGGGTTGATTTCACTGGCCTGTGCTCTCCATCACTCTTGTATCCAGAAACCTTTATCTCTGGTACTGACATACCGGATATTTTGTCCTGGCGAGGGATGTGCCATGTCTGTGGCATGGAGGTCTTGGCAATATCCTGTGGGATGGACTTCATTCCTCTCTGCTTATAGTGGGCCACCAGATATAAAACACCTGTGTAAGAAAAACATATTTTCAGGAACAATGAAATCAGATACTCAGTTTAATATATACAGACATTACTTATTATTCATTGAAATAGGCTAATGACATACCTGTCACATGACCACAACACTGGCTCTGACCTATGGCACAGCTGCAGCTGGCGCTGACCACTTTAACCACTGGACTGCTCTCTAAGGTGACCTGCATTTCATAGTACATTTACTTGAGTGAAATGAATGTACTAGGCTATCACAATTTAACATAAATGAGATATTTTACAAAATATGTGTTCCTATCAGACTGATAATATTTTTTCTTGACAATACTATGAACCCAACTTACAGTTATATTGTGTGGCGAGTCATTTTTCTTCATGGAATGGTAACAACGAGCTGTTATTACGCAAGATGTGTCATCACATGATGCTGCAAAAAAAAAAACGATTACAGGTGAAAAATAAGACAAGGGAATAATGTTACACGAAATAACATCATTTGAATTTTACATAGATCTAATAACTATCTGACGGTTACGGCCTAGGTTATTGACATGATGTAACTTAGGTTAAAGTAGTTCAAAAACAGCTTTTCAGTTGCACTTCATAATGATTAACGTATGTCCCGTAATTTTCAGGGTGAAGTCAATATGATAACATGTCAAGAGGAAAATAAGCCTTCTTCAATCATAAATCAGCAATGACATAATGACATTGACAGCCATATTGCGATCGTTACTGTACCATTTACAACATTGGAAATTGATGAATGAAACTTACTTCGCAAATTATAAATGAACCCTTCACTATAATATTTGAAGCCTTTGTTCAGTTGGGAAGTCCCGGCACTTCTGCTATTCATCTGTATATAAGTCTCCACGAAGGAAAATGTGAGAGACGGGACAGCCGTCAGATCGCTTCCGGATTTCGTCGCCATCACGATCCGCTGATTACGTGGGTATGACCTCGTTTTGATATTGGTCAAAGGTCACATGCATAAATATTAAGAGTGGCCTATGGCCCAGGTCTACAGTTCCAGCATGATAATGCTCGGCCGCATACCGCGATATTGACACGAAATTTCCTTCAAAACGCTGGAATCAACGTCATGGACTGGCCATCGAGGTCCCCTGACCTTAATCCAATAGAGCACGTTTGGGATGCACTTGGGAGAAGGCTTCGTGGTCTTAGGAACCAACCTCAGAATTTGCAGGAACTTGGCGCTGCCTTGCAAGAGCAATGGTGCAGAATCCCCAACCACGTGTTCACAAGCATCAGGCAGTCGATGAGGAGACGGTGTTTGGCAGTGGTGAAAGCGCGGGGCGGCCATACACGATATTGAACTGATAAATTTCGCATTTTTTATTCTTGTGACTTGACATTCTGTATACCCATGTTTTGGAACGGCGGTGTAGCCTAATGGAAGTGATTATGGTACTGTCAGTGTATCGAGTACATCACACAGATCTCAGCAATGAAATAATAACAAATTTAACCATCTTACCATCTCTTTTTCTTTTTTAGTGCCCTGAAGAAAGAATGTGAAGCTTCTTTTTTGACTCAGTATATTTGAAGACTGGTTGTCTTTACGGGATTCTTTACGGTAACGAAAATGATATTCCTTCAGTGTGGATTAGACTGCTCGTGTTATTTAAGTTATAATCAACCGGAATTATTACCTTTGAAAACAGTTCCACAATGATCCTGTCCTGGGCTCTCCTGTACGGGTCTGAGGGGGTCAGTTTGTTGTTGGGGTACGCTTCATCCACGTAGTCAGAGCAGATCAGGGACTCATAGATCACTTTGTCGTCCAGTTCGAAGATGGGTACAGCGCCGTTGGGGTTCCTGTCCCAGAACCAAGATGGCTTCTGCAGCAGGTTAATGTTCACTACCTCGTGTCTGGGTGAAAAATAATCACAATCAATATTCATCATAAATACAACATGTGTTTTTGTCTTTTTAATGAAAACGGGTAATGTGTTCTAAATGTTCTCGATGGATCGAACGAAGTCTTGTTCCCTCAATGGGGCGTAGGGATTGAACCTCGTGTGTTTGCTCACACTAAGTTCCTATTCTCTTGAATTCGTCTCTCTCTCTTAGCATAGGGACGAGACCTCGAGTGTTTACTCACACTCTTTCATTGAACTAGTCTCGCTCTCCTAGCATTGGCACGAGATCTCGAGTGTTTACTCACACTATGTTCCTATGTTTTTAACCAGTTTCGCTCCCTTGGGTGAAACCTCACGGATGCATCAATGTTCCTATGTCTCGATCTCTCTGCGTTGGGACAGCAATTTGTGATGTATGCACACTTTATTCTTCTATTATCTTGGACTAGAACTCTATGAAACACTGCACTGTACTTGTACTCTTACATCCTGCCCTAGAATTAGTCTCGCTGTCCGTTTAGAGGCACATCCTATGGTGGATACTTACTCAATGTTCTTGTGATGTAGAACTAATCTGGTCCCCTCAGCAAAAGGGCAAAACCTCATGCTGTAGACCCTTATTTTCCCCGGGGTGAGGGGTGGGAAGGTAGGAGCTGAAACAAAAATATTCTGATACACTGACAACCGCTGCAATGACGCCTAGTCGTGATTATTACAAATCACACAGTCATCTTGGTATGGTGAACTACTTGAGAAGTCAGGTAACAGTCTAGACTTTGTGTTTACAGATACGTATCATCCTCATCCCTATTTTGTTCTTTGATTTTGGTGCCCACAGGGATCTGTCCGCACATCTCTTTATTTTGTTTATTTTAGTTTTTGGGTTTGGTGGGGTTTATATAATTTTCTATTTAGGAAACGCCGAGCCTCATAATAATTTTTATATAAAATGCCGGACACTCTTTTCTTGCCCGACTCGGACAAGAATCGAAGTGTTAAGAAAACATTTATTTTCGCACAAATTCTTTTCCTAGCGTCGCCAGTACTCCTGATTTTGTTTTCTTTGTCCCCATGTAACAATATTTTGTCATATTTCCACAAAACGCTAATGTGGAGAATATTCTGAAGACTATTTCTTTACAAGCCCAAAATATTGCTGGAATGTGCAATCACATTTTCATTTATTTCACTAAAAATAAGCCAGTAACCGATCAATAAAACATGTGGCCCTAAGTAATGTACAATATTTGCAACACAGAACATTCATAAGGGCTAATGAAAACATTATGATTTATAAAGAACTCAACTATTAGTACTCAACAAATATACTGAATATAGTTCACGTCGACGTCTGTGTGAGAGTGTATTGTTTTTTTACGCCACTTTGAACAACATTCTATGGAATATCATAACATAACACCAGAAATAAGTTTCAGACAATGTTCATATGAGGGGAATTGTACTCGGGTCTTCGGCGTGGCGCTTTAGCCACTGGGCTACCCATCGCGATTATCTGAGTTAAATACTTTGTATCATGAGTAAAGCTCATCCTTCGTGTGTCCTACTCATCTGATCTTGTCCCTTACTCACCCACTCGATTCATTCCCAAATCACACTAAATCAGAAAAAACGACTCGAATATACCCAGTACACCATTCAATAGTCTGTCGTACAGACCCTGAAGCAAATATATCCAAGAAAGCCCACGCAAGTCTAGAAAATGTGGCAAGTCAGCTAGATTTCCTCTGAAAATGAAGAAAGTCTCAGGGCTCCTTTTCATTATATATTTTTTTTTTTACTATGGACCTTTTTCATTAAAATATGTTCATATCAGAGACTGGTTGTTAGTCTAACCATTCAACAACTTTTTTTTTTTCTTTTTTTTTTATTGGTTCCCAAGATTACAATATTGCAGATATACCAAGCCGTGATGCGTACGGCTTAAAGTAATATGGCTACATGATGTTCAGGTGAGATATTTTTGTATTAATATATTTATGAACATGCATAATTCATTAAATAGATAATGTACAGATAATGTCAGGTACAAGTCAATACAGTTTGAGTCATCTAAGTACTGGGGAGAGAAGGCTCCATTTATGATGGAAATTATTTATTTTATTATTTTTGGCTGATATATGTTTTTCCACAAAGAATATTTCTTTTAGATTTTTTATATAGAAAGTTAGATTTGGAACCATTCAACAACTTGACCACTTTCTATACAAGTCACCCAAACACCAGCAAAGACATTGTACTCAGTCCCCCACGGCGCTGGACGTCATTTCACAATAGCGAATCAATATCTAATAACACCAGGACAAAATCAGGCTCAATGCCCCGAAGAGACCCCGGAAGAGGCGCCCGAAACCTCTTCGACACACTCCGCATGTATACAAACACATTTCATCACTTCCACGCCCCAACCACTGACCAAAAGTTCAACAGTCCAAGCTTAAACATATTTGAGCTGGAATACATGGTTTTGATGCAAATCAACGATGTATGCATCCCACTATATCGCAACAAACATGGTGGTGTCATGGCTATCACAGAAATTAGAATCCCAGTCACGATGACGAAGCGCAATCTACTCGCTGTGGAATATTCAGATGCCGGTCCACTTCAACTCTCGCGTGGCTTGGCCGCTCTGGTTGGGTAAATGTTTACACAGTCTAGATGTTCAAGGGAATCTTTACCTGCAGCATTAATTTGGAATAATGCAGGCCATGCAAAAGCCTTTATGCTACCTAAACCAATTCTTGTCAATTTCTCCTTACGTTGAAATACTTAACGTTGGTACTAAATGTAGACAAAAAGATTCTCGATGCGAAATTTTGGAATAATTTGTTTCATATTCCTAGAAATGGCTGCCTTTTTATTGAAGTATTTGACCATCGTGGAATCATTATGTTCATTGTGCTTCAGCGCAGTTTCACACAAGTATATAAAACTGTGTCTTCGACTCTGGTATAAAGGATGAATCTCAGAATGTTTTTTGCTTTTAATGTTCATATTTGACGATGACCAGTAAAACGAATGACAAAGAACAACCAATTATCTGTCCCTCCTGAAATAAACTGTGTAAGTCACTCGCCACTTGGGTTAGCTAAGTGGTTAAAGCGTTCTGTCCCGCGCCGAAGACCTGGGTTCGATTCCCCAAATGGGTACAATGTGTGAAGCCCATTTCTGGTGTACCCCGCCGTGGTATTGCTGAAATATTGCTAAAAGCGGCGTAAGACCATAGTCACTCATGTGTTCACTCGTGACAGATGATCCGTCATTCCTTGACACACGTATCAGCATCTTCACCCAAAACATATCCGTTCCTCATGGATCTTGTAACATGTGATAGAAATAAATCAATACCAAATCCAGTGAACAAGCTTTATTAGGACAGAAAATTGAAGCTCCAAAAGTATAATTTTTCATCAATTTCATCATACAAGCAACGACCTTACATTGGCGAACCAATGTCAGTGTCTGTGATAACCCGGAGATAGATCTTCACAATCGCATAGTACCATGAATGCATGTCCTTTCTAATCCGAAGGAAACAGTTGTAATAAAGGACATAACCTTGGTGTATTTTGTTCGAAAGTGGTAGTTCCAAAGTTTATTGCCTTGTTTAAATATGCCATCAGGGTTCTTGTGTTGCAAATCTTTAAAAAAGTAAATAATATCACCGGGGTTCTTGTGTTGTTAAGACAGATTTGTAATGAACGCAACAAATGTAAAAAAGCAAATCTTCTTTGGCCCAAGTCCTTGATCTAAGGAGAATTTCTTCGTCACCAAAATCTCCCTGAATCAGCTTTAATGTTCAGATCAATGTTTGTTTCTGCATGTGCTCCTTATACTGTATGGTGTGTATATTGTGGAAACTTGTGAGACCAGAATGATTCTGACATCACACATCAGGAAGGCATGATCATCTACGCAGGAACAACAGCTATATTATGTTATCATCTGCCCAGTTCTGTGAAACTACTGATTCAAATTCAAAGTCCGACGTCAAAATCTGGTTTACCAGCTTTGGCTGTTTCTACGAAATGGATATGAGACGGTGTATTCCAACGACACTTCTGTACAGCTGGTACTGTCACCATGTTTTCGATCCACTTGGTAAACTTTGGGTACCGATCTGCTGGCACACTCGCTTCTTTCACTAACTGGGTCATGGCATCAAACCTTTCAGCGTGGGGCCACAGCATCAGGTCAACCATCTGGACAGCGCTGCCTGAAAGGTGAAAACATGAGATATTCACATGTCAAGTAAAACTATTAAAAGTTGATCATTGTAAGGACGAAGAATCCACATATGTAATGCGATGAAGTCGAAGTCTGAATATTGTCTGTCTGACTGACTGACTGAATTTAGTTTTACGCCGCGTTTAGCAATATTCCAGCAACATCACGGCGGGGGACACCAGAAATGGGCTTCACACATTGTACCCATGTGGGGATTCGAACCCGGGTCTTCGGCGTGACGAGCCAACGCTTTAACCACTAGGATACCCCACCGCCCCAAAATATTGTCTGAGCAAATGCTTCGTATTAAAACCATAAATGTTTTCAAAAACAGGATGTATGTAGAACCTGTCATACCCAATCGATGATCTGAGCAGCTAGATCATCGAATGGTAGGGCTGGCTATCGATATCGATCGTAAAATCGATAACCGTTAGCCAAATATCGATCTTATATCAATAAATATCTTAAAAGTAACTTGTAAAAAATATCTGAAAGAAATTAATATATTTCACATCAATGGTGAGTGATGACATTATGCAGGGCTCCAGATAAGGGCCGTATCGGCGTATGTACGGATAAAAAATATGCACGATACGGTAGGAAATAATTTAGAACACGTAGCAGATACGCACCACGGCAATGGTGTACAGTATTAGAATCATTTACAGATGTATTTATCTGAAAAAGTATTGGTTTTTTTGTATATTGACCTGTTTACACAAGCCTAGCAATGTTGTGATGCAGATATGAAACGAAACACAAGATTACTGATACTCCATGAAATTCCTTTCAGTACTCTAAATGTACTTTTCCAGTACTCTGGAGCCCTGTGACATGTTTTTGCATGGATTTTTAACGAAAGAGCGTCCTGAATGTAATTTAGAGGCAGACCATGATTGATGTCTTATGTTTGTGTATTCTCTGAGAAAATTACGACTTTTTTTTCTATCACAAAGGTTTATGTACCATATTATCGATAACAAAATTTTCATATCGATAATCATTAATAATGTTTCCTATCGACGATATTTCCGATTATCGATCATTGTAGCCAGTCCTACACGAGCAACTCTATCACTTATGTCACAGACCATTGTGCCGCGGGTGTGTCTTGCAACAAACAATCATAGGGAATTTTGACGTACAATAAGTAATTTCTAAACGTATCTGTTGGCCTAAACTAATGTCTTTTAAAATGCCCCAATCCTAAAACAATGCAGATACTTTCCCTTTGGTTGAAGTTGTTCATTTAGCATTATGAGACAGTTTAACGAACATCCTGATCACAATTTTTAAGCCACATCGTTTTCAAAAAAAGGAAAAGATTCTTACCACCAAAGAACGGGGTCCCCCTGTCTGCAAGAGCCTTCTCAACCCTATCAAGAGCCTCATGGAATCCCGTAATAGCTTCCTTTGGGACCTCTTTGCCATAAGCTATCTTGTAAAAGGACACTACCTGAAATGTATAGCAGTAGTTAGTATCCTAGCTGGGGACACAGGATGCCTAGTTCTTTCCCTTAGTCGTGGTAGGATCCGCTGGTACCTGGTTCGGAACCTTATTGCATATGGAAAAACGATCCTTGCTTCGTTACCACCAGGCCCTTGCTAGTCTTTCAACGCGCTTGAAAGTTGTGTAAGATCAGCATCAATTTAGGCTATGATCCCGTATTTAACTGAAACTCCGTGTTCAAAGCTCCGAAAGAGACAGTATTAAGTCACACAGTCACTACTCTCTTAACAGCAAATTACTTTGAATATCATGATCCAAGATAAATTTGGGTTGTCATCAGGGGATTCTTTGCATTAACACAAATGATATTCCTTTTATGTGGACTGGGCTGTTTGTGTTATTCAAGTAACAATAAACCAAACTATTACCTTTGAGAACAGTTCCACAATGATCCTGTCCTGGGCTCTCCTGTACGGGTCTGAGGGGGTCAGTTTGTTGTTGGGGTACGCTTCATCCACGTAGTCAGAGCAGATCAAAGACTCATAGATCACTTTGTCGTCCAGTTCGAAGATGGGTACAGCGCCGTTGGGGTTCCTGTCCCAGAACCAAGATGGCTTCTGCTTCAAGTCAATGTTCACTATCTCATGTCTGGATGAAAATGAATAAACTTTTCAATCAATATTCATCATCAATACAATATAGAACATCAATAGAACTAGTTTAGCTCTCTCAGCATAGGGACGGATCTTCGAGATTATACTCTCACTATGTTCCTATTTTCAAGAACTAGTCTCGCTCTTTTAGCATAGGGACAGAACCTCGAGGTTATACTCTCACTATGTTCCTATTTTCAAGAACTAGTTTCGCTCTTTTGGCATACGAGCGGATCCCGATTGTTTATT